CTCAAATACTCTTGGTGGCAGAATAAAAGCTATTGAAATTAAATGTGATCATAATTATCAAAAAAAAAAAAAAAAAGAGATGGGGCCTTTAGGAGGTGGTTAGGCCATGAGGGCTTCCCCCTCATAGATGGGATTAGTGCCCTGGCAAGAGGGCTGGAAGGAACCAGTGTGGCTCCTTTTTGCCTTCCTGCCGTCCATCACATGAGGATGCAGTAAGAAAGCCCTCACCAGCCACCAAATGCCGGCACCTTGATCTTGGACTTCCCAGCCTCTAGAAGTGTGAGAAATAAATTTCCTTTAGAAAAAAATTTAAAGAAACATTTTTTAATTGAAGCATAAATGGTTTATACATATTTGTGGGGTACAAAATTGACTATCAATAGTTGTGTACAATGTGTGATGGTCAAATCAGGATGGTTAGCTTACTCATCGTTACAATACGTAATCATTCTTTGTGTCCTTAAACCAGTTTTTCATTAATTTCTCATTAAGCTCCAACCCCTTCCCCTCCCATTTCCCCTTTCCACTTCTAGTAACCCATGTTAAATTTCTACTATTTATAAGTTACCCAGTCTGTGAAAAAAAAAAAAATATATATATATATATATATATGGAGAGAGAGAGAGAGAGATGAGAGATTTATTATAAGGAATTGGCTTACATGATTATGGGGGCCGAGAAGTCCCATGATCTGCCATCTCTGAGCCAGAGACCCAAGAGAGCTGGCAGTGTAATTCTAATCTGAGTCCAAAGTCCTGAGAACCAGGGGAGCCAGTGGTGTAAATCCCATCCCAAGGGCAGGACAAGACCAATGTTCCAACTCAAGCAGGCAGGCAGGAAGGAAAAAAGGGGGCCGAATTCCTCTCTCCTCCACCTTTTATTCTATGCAGGTCCTCAATGGATTGGACAATGGGGAGGGAAAACTCTCAGAGACACAACCAGAAATAATATTTAATCTGCGCACCCCATGATGCAGTCGAGTTGACACATAAAATTAACCATCACGAGGCCATTCCTTGTCAACTTGGCACCCGTACACATCTTCTCAAATCATACTTAATCTCCAAATAAAGTCAATAACAAGGTCATAATTTCACCTAACATGGTACACTACCTTGTACATACCCCAGAATGCCCTAGTTTCTTCCCCAGAAGAGGAAGTGAAGTCCTCAGGTGAAGTTTATTTTTCTCCTTCATATCCCATAACTTAAATACTATGATGTAAAATTAACAGTACTTAAGTACTATGATATCAAATTAATAATTCCTATGTTGCATGATAAGGGAATCAGAGAGGAAAGAAAACAGATACATACACATAAAAAAATGCATTCGTAGTAAAATAAGGAAGAAACACTGATGACAATTACAGTCTTTATTTCTGTAAGCGGCCACGTGGTCAAAGCTGGTATTTATAACCACCTTCTTCTACTGTCCATTCATTATTGGCCTGTGCCTTCAGCAGGTATTCAGCGTGTCGTGGTTCTTTACCTAGTGGGGTGACCGAAATCTACATTCCTGATGTGTCCCTTAGTAGTCCTGCCTGGATTGGGTTGTTGTAATTTTACATCCTAGGGGATCTCCCGTACTCCAGACACAATCCTCCTCACCTCCATTGTGAAGTCGTAGTGCAACTTCCCCTTGGTGGTCTGGGTCAGTTGCCCCAGCCAACACTGTAACTCCATTCTTAGCATGTTGACTGAGGCAGAGGAGCCCAAAGTGGCCAGGTGGCAGCCTTAACTTCCAGTTCAATGGAAGTTGTGTGTCCTGGTGGCAGCTTCCCTCCCTCTGGAACCAAGCCCTCTAGACCAGCAAAGCATAAAGTTGTGGGGACAGAAAGCAAAAAATTTGCCGGTGGGTCCCTAGGGGTAATGGTGGTGGTGCCACTTCTGTTTCTGCCCCTTGATTCCTGGACCCACTAATCCTGGCTATGGGAGAAACAGTACCATAGACAGCCTTCTGGAGAACCTTGCCCAAGCCCTGCAGGGTATTGGCACCAAGCTGGCGCTGTAACTATGACTTCAAAAGGCCATTCCACCGTTCTATCAGACCAGCTGCTCCAGGATGGTGGAGGCGTGGTAAGACACGTGAATGTCATGAGCATGAGCCCATTGTCACAGCCCATTTGCTGTGAAGTGAGTTCCTTGATCAGACACAGCTGCTTGGTTTGAATGTTTGTGTCCCCACAAAATTCACATGTTGAAATTGTAACACACAAGGTGATGGTATTACGAAGTGGGGCCTTTGGGAGGTGATTAACTCATGAGGGTGGACTCAAATATCTTCACATCCTTTGCCCTCTCAGAGAGGTCCATCCACATACCTCTTACCCAAATTTCCTTGTCACCAATTTTCCAATCATGTGCCTTCCAGTCCTTGACCATCTGCCCAAACCATTGCCCACAGTGCATGAATCAGTATATAAATGCACATCTGCAATTTCCCTTCCAGCAAAGTGCACAACCAGGAGAATTACACTAAGCTCCGCCACTGGGAAGATGTCCCCTCACCACTGTCCTTCAGGGATGTCCCAGAGAGGGGCTGCAGTGCTGCAGCTGTCCACTTTCAGGTCATGCCTGCATGTCATGCAGAAACAACTGTAAGCCAGGCTCTAGCCTTGTCTTCCTCTGTCAGCTGCTCACAGGGAGCTCCCCGTGAGGCCACAGGTGCAGGCTGGGGGAGAGAGCAGTGCAGCAGGAGTAGGAACCGTGGGCATTTGGGCCACTTCTCCATGTAACTTACTTGTGCCTTCAGGACGTGCTCGGGCCCGATCATGTATATACCATTTCCGTTTGATGATGGAGTGCTGCTGTGCACGCCCAGTCTTATGGCCTGCTGGGTCAGATAACACCCAGTTCAGGATGGGCACTTCAGGTTGCATGGTGATTTGGTGGCCTATGATCAATTGTTCAGTTTCTACAAAGGCCCAGTAGCAGGAACAAAGCTGTTTCTGGAAAGGAGAGTAGTTATTTGTGGGTGATGGCAGGGCCCTGCTCCAAAACCCTCAAGTCCTGCACTGGGACTCACCTGTGGGGGCCTGCTGAGGGCTCCTCATGGCATCCCTCTCAGCTCCTACCCATTCAAACACCACTGGGTCTGCTGGACCACATGGGCCCAAGGGCCTGGGCCCACTGTAGAGCCTTCTTCTGGGCCCCACACAGAACTAGCATTTTTGGGTCACTTGGTAGATAGGCCAGAGTAGGACGCCCAGGTGAGGAGCAGGTTGCCTCCAAATTCAAAGAGGCCCACTAGGTGCTGTGTCTCTTGGTTGTAGGAGGTTCCAGATGCAGCAGCCTACACTTCACCTTAGGAAGGAGATCTCGACATGCCCCACACCACTGGACCCCTAGAATCTCACTGAAACAAAAGACCCCTGAATTTATTTGCCACTCTCTGACAGGCAAATGTCTCACCAGTAAGTCCAGAGTGGTTTCTACTTCATGCTCACTAGGTCCAATCGGTATAATGTCATCCATGTAACGGGCCAGTGTGATGTCCTGTGGAAGGGAAAGGTGATGGAGATCCCTGCGAGCTAGATTGTGACATAGGGCTGGAGAGTTGATGTGCCCCCGAGGTGGGACAGTGAAGGTATGTTGCTGGCCTTGCCAGCTGAAAGCAACTGCTTCTGGTGAGCTTTATGGACAAGGATGGAGAAAAAGGCATTTGCCAGATCAATAGCTGCACACCAGGTACCCAGAGATGTGTTAATTAGTTCAAGCAATGAAACCACATCTGGTACAGCAGCTGCAGTTGGAGTCACCACTTGGTTAAGCTTACGACAGTCCACTGTCATTTTCCAGGATCCATCTGTCTTCTTCATGGGCCAAATAGGAGAGTTGAGTGGCCTCTTTCAAGTTCTTAATGGTGGCACAAATTTCTACAATCAGGAATGTGGTATTGGTTTTGATTTTCTGTTTTCCTAGGTCCAGGCAGCTCTAATGGCTTCTATTTGGCCTTTCCCACCATAATAGTCCTCACTGGACAGGTCAGGGGAACCAATGTGAGAATTCTTCGAGCTGCTAAGTATGTCTATCCCAATTATGCATCTGAGACTAGGGAAATGACCACAGGAGGGGTCTGGGGGCCAGCTGGACTGTCTGAGAGACGGACCTGAGGAAAAACTCCCTGAGTCACCTGACCTGCTTTTTGTCCCTACCTTGACAGAGGGCCACTGTAACATTTTGGGTCTCCCAGAATCAGTGGCAGTTTAGAGCCAGTGTCCAGTAGTCCATGGAAGGTCTGAGTATTTCTTTTTCCCCAATGCACAGTTACCTTGATGAAAGGCCATAGGTCCGTCTGGTGAAGGCTGGAGGAAAGATGAACAGACTAAATTTCTAGTAGTGGAGGCGAGAAAGGGAGCATACCTGGGGTCCTGGGCAGGAGCCGAGGGCAGCATCCCCCGCCGGGCAACAGGCAAGGAGCACGCCCCAAACACCCTTCCTAGTGGGTGTCCCACCACAGCCACGGCTGCTGCAAAAGTGGCTCGACACCACAGCTACCATGCAGGCAGTGCACCAGACACCTGACTGCAGTGACACAAGCAGAGTCACCAGCGGAGACCAGAAAAAGACAGAAACATCTCTGTCCTCAAAGCCCACTCGAGCGTAATAGAAAAAGCGACTGCTCTGCCACGCCCCTGCTTTATTTCTGATTTTAGTAATTTCTGTCTTCTCTCTTTTTCTCTTGGTCCGTCTAGATAAAGGTTGGCAAATTTTGTTGATCTTCTTAAAGGGGAAAAAAAAAAGACTATTAAGCAGTCTGCAAAGCACCATTAATGTAAATATTTTAATCAAACACTAACAATACATAATGCTTTTAGGGTATAATAATCTTTATTTATACTGTGTAACTTCCTAAATATGTAACTATCATTCATTTTCTTTGGCAGGCTTTGTTATGGGAGACTGAAATCAAGCTCAAAACTCGTTTCTCAAAAAAATAAAAATTAATTCAAAGAAAATTTTGCAGTAGTGGACTGGGATCCTTCCTCAGAGGGACCCAGCCTCCCCTTCGTTTAAGGGCTTCTCGGCTTGTAAACTGGCTCAAGTCTGGGAATTCTCTGCTTTTATGACTTGGGTCAGACTTTTGTTCCTTGACCTGGCAAGTTTTCTGCTTCTACAGATCAAGTAAGAATTTAGTAGGCTTTCTGTGTATTTCTCTTCTCAGAAACTAGCCAATGCCTAAGGTCTGCATAAGGCACGTTTTTCCGATGGCTGCTTTGCCTCTGCTGTCCATTGTGGTAGCTACACCCACCTTGCTTTGGTGGCTGAGTGCCACTCTGGGACCAATTACTCCCACTGCATTTAAATTTTCTAATTGAGTAACTGATTCCTACTGTAAGGTCTGGCTTACAGGGAAAAGCGAGCATGGAATTCTTCGAGGATGCTGGGGCTGCCCTCACAAATCTATTTCTCAAGGTATTGTGACAGGTGTGTCTTCTGGGGCCTCCCAGGGTGGATGAGTAGGTCTTAAGTGACAAATCCTCTCCAGCTTTCCAATCTCCCTAAGCCCTTGAATCCCTTTGCCTACGTCAAACCTCTACGTTCCCCATATGCTCACCGTGGGCCACGTTTGGATCCATGCTTTAGCCAACCAACCAACCAACCAACCAACCAGTTAGAAGGGGCTCTGATCTTTCTAACTCCTGAGTTCAACATTAAACGTAGAATCTCTGCTTAGTGGGTCGACATCAATCAGTTTAGCCTGATCCAACTTTGTGTCCCTTCCACCACATCCCACACCCTTAATATCCATTCCCACATGGGTCGCCTGGATTTCTGTCTGTATAAATTAGAAAACTCAAGTGCTTTTTTGGAGGGTAGTACACCTCCTCGTGGGTCACACTTTGTACCGCACCTTTGGGTGCTGCTAGGACTTGAGTCTAGCTGTAGGTCTAGAAGCAATGATGGGGTGGTGGGGGCAGGTCCTGAGGAGAATCAGCATGTCCTGCTTGGTGGCTGCCTCGGGAGGTCATCCCTGTTTCCTCAGGCACTGTAGGGCTAAGTCCCCTCAGAGGGAGGTGGGGACGCCACTTCTGTTGGTAAATAAGACTCATCAGAATTTAGGTGCTCAGTGTCCCCAGGTTCACCAGGGTTTTCT